GGATGAAAGGTTTATCCTACTTAAAATACCAGAAGCAACGACTGGCCGAATTCCTGAACAGAAACCCGAACATGAAAATAATCGTGGAAACCGATTTATCATTCAAAAATCCCGCCAACGAACTTATTCAAAGGCGGTTAAGAAGCAGAAGATACAATATTCATAATCCCGACGAGTTGAACACCGTCTTAAACAACATTGGACACGACATTGAGACACAAATTGAAATAACCGAATACATTCAGTCGGGATTGGTTCTTGGTCAAGTTGAAAAGTTAGTCATCAGTTATGATAGGTACAATCCTACCCGTGGTTCATCCTTTATTCCATTGCCCGACTGGGTGGCAAACAAAAAGGCTTGTATTAACATTAAAAATGAGGACGACTTATGTTTTAAATATTCCGTTCAATGTGGATTTTATGAGTTATTCAAAAAAGACCATCCCTGCGAGATGTATCATTATAAGAAATATGTAGATGACAAATTTATCAAATGGGATAATATTGACTTTCCAGTAGGTAATGATGAGATTGAACTATTTGAAGAACAGAACAAACACATATCGGTCAATGTTTATTACATAAACCCCGATACAAATAGTAAAACTATTTTATTATACAAAAGAAGCAACAACCCACAAGCACAACACAAAATCGATTTGATTAAATTGACTGATGATGTTAAATCCCATTACGCTTATATCAAAAATTATGATAAGTTAATGAGTAGTCAGACTAACAAGATGAAGGCGAAGAAGTATCACTGTAGAACCTGCTCACATGGTTTCAAGACCGAAGAACTTTTAAAGAAACACGAAGAACAAGGATGTCTAGCAGTTGAGGGTCAAAAAATAGAAATGCCAGAAGCAGGTGAAACAATAGTATTCAAAAACCATTTCAAGAAACTTAAAGCTCCATTCGTAATCTATGCCGACTTTGAATGTTTAACTGTGCCAATTGATGTTAAAAGCAAATCGGCAAAAGCTAAAACTACATCATATCAAAATCATCGTCCGTGTGGTTTTATGATTAATGTAGTCAATGCTATAACCGGAAGTAGTGAGCCTTACTTATACAGAGGTGAAGATTGTATGGATAAGTTTGTTGAAAAAATCAATGAAGTCAGAGAAGATATTATTAGTAGGATGAAGGAAGTAAAAGAGATAATCATGACTGAAAAGGACAAGGAAGATTTTGAAAATGCTACTACTTGCTTTATCTGTGGAAATGATTTTAAACCTGAGGACAAGAAGGTTCGAGACCATTGTCACTTTACTGGAGCTTACAGAGGATGCGCCCACGATGATTGTAATCTTGGTTTTAGTATGAGATATTATAAAATCCCTGTGTTTCTTCATAACCTTAAAAACTATGATGCCCACTTAATCATCAACAAGGCTCACGAACTGAACAAGAATTCTAAAATAGAATGTATCGCTCAGAACAGCGAAAAGTTTATAACCTTTGGTTTTAAAAATCTTTGTTTCAAGGACAGTTTCAGTTTCTTATCGTCTTCGTTGGATAAGTTGGTGAAGTTGAGTAAATATGAGGATGATAAAAAGCGTGAGAACTGGAAGAACAATTTCAGATACAGCGTTAGAAACCCGTATGTTAAAACCGATGAAGATTTGGATTTATTGACTGATAAGGGTATTTATCCCTATGACTACTTTGATGATTTTGAAAGATTTAAGGAAAGGGCTTTACCACCGAAAGAAGCGTTTTACAGTAAATTGAGTGAAGAACATGTAAGCGATAAAGATTATGAAAGGGCACTGAAAGTATGGAAGCACTTCGGGATTAGAACACTCGGGCAGTATCACGACTTGTATTTAAGAACTGATGTTTTACTACTGACCGATGTATTTGAAAACTTTAGAGACTTGTGTATGGAATACTACGGTTTAGACCCCGCTCATTATTACACATTGCCAAATTTCGCATGGGACGCGATGCTTCTAAAAACTGGTGTTGAAATAGAACAATTGCATGACCAAGAAATGTTTGAGATGGTTGAAAAGGGAATGAGAGGTGGTATGTGTCAGGTAAGTCATAAATTAGCAGTGGCAAATAATAAGTATATGGGGGAAGCATATGATGAGAACAAGCCATCAAATTATATTAGTTACTTGGATGCTAATAACTTGTATGGTTTAGCAATGTCCCAGAAGTTACCGCTAAAAAATATCAAGTGGGCAAAGAAAACTCCCATTGTTGAAAAATGGAATGAAAACGATGAGTTCGGTTATATTATGGAAGTTGATTTGGAATATCCCGAAACATTGCACGACTTCCACTCTGACTATCCACTAGCGCCTGAAATAATGAATGTAAATGTGAATATGCTTTCCGATTATCAAAAGCAAGTCTACAAAATATATTATGATGGTAAAAGTCCCAAGGACGAGAAAACAAGTAAGTTAATATTAAATCTAAAGGATAAAGAAAAATATGTGGTTCATATTAAGACTTTACAGTATTATTTGAAAATGGGAATGAAAATGGGTAAAGTCCATAGGATAATAAAGTTTCAACAGAGGGCTTGGTTGAAACCGTGGATTGACTTCAACACTGGTAAAAGGAAAGAAGCCAAAAGCGATTTTGAGAAAGATTTATTCAAATTAATGAATAACGCGGTGTACGGAAAAACTATGGAAGACAAGCGAAACCATATGGATTTTGAATTAGTTGATAATGAGGTAAGATATGAAAAATGCGTTAATAATCCAACATTCAAAAACAGATTTATTATTAATGAAAACCTGGTAGGAGTTGAAAAAACTAAAGCGAAACTGAAACTGGATAAACCGATTTTCTTAGGAATGAGCATTTTAGATTTAAGCAAATTACATATGTATCAGTTTTATTATGATGTATTGAAAAAGAAGTATAATGAAAACATCAAACTGATATATACTGATACTGACAGTTATGTAATTCAAACAATGACTGATGATGTCTATAAGGATTTCAATGATATAAAGCAACACATGGATTTTAGCGACTATCCTGTTGAGCATCCATGTCATGACAAAACTAATAAAAAGGTCTTAGGAATGTTTAAGGACGAAGTGAATGGAAAAATCATTACTAAATTCATCGGATTAAAACCTAAATCTTACGCCTTCACAATTCACGGTGAGGATGATGAACATAAGAAATCAAAAGGTGTAGTGAAACACAAAGTTAAAAAAGAACTGTCGTATCAGAACTATCACGAAGCATTATTTCAAAACAAAAAGCATGAAATAACATATAATTTTATTCGTAGTCGCAACCATCAATTATTTTCAATGTCTCAAGTAAAGCAAAGTCTGAGTAATTATGAAAATAAAAGGTTTTATATTGATGCTTTCAATTCACTGCCTTATGGGCATTATTCCATAAAATAATTATCTAAATAGTTCTAATAATATGAAATTATTAGAATTATTTTCAGGCACAGGGTCGGTTGGTCGGGTTGCACGGGATTTGGGTTTTAGTGTTATTTCCCTTGATTTGAAAAATGCAAATATCAATACTGATATTTTGAGTTGGGATTATAAACAGTTTGATGTGGGTGAGTTTGATGTGATTTGGGCATCTCCTCCATGCACCGAATACAGCCGAGCGAAGACGACGGGCGTCCGAAAGATTGAGTATGCTAACAGCATCGTTTTGAAAACTCTTGAAATTATAGATTATTTCAAACCGAAATACTGGATAATAGAAAATCCCCAAACAGGATTATTGAAAGAACAACCGTTTATGAGTGGGTTGAAATACTATGATGTGGATTATTGCAAATATGGAATGAATTATAGGAAGCGAACAAGGCTTTGGACTAACATAACATCATGGAAACCTAGACCATTATGTAAAAGGGATTGTGGGAAAATTAGGAATGGGAAACATTTAGAAACTGCTCAACGATTGCCATCGGGTAAAAAATCAGATTGGGGTGAGGGATACATCAAACATAAACAAGATGAGTTGTATAAAATTCCTACTGATTTGATTAGTGATATACTTGTTAAAACCTACCCACCCGATACCTTGTAGTCGCCGAGGGAGGTGCCTTCTGACAAACAGGACTCACACGTGAGGGTTGGGGTTGTTGTTGTTGAGGTGGTGGTGTTACGGGTTGTTTTGGTTGAAGGCGTGTGAGGCATCCACAGCATCATAAAAATCCAGCATCATCAGCATCATCCAGCATCATCAGCATTGAAACAAAAGAAGGGTCGGTTGTTGCCTGATGGCTGATGCCATTTAAAAAACAAAAACTATCCATTCCATAATCAACCCTCCCTTTTCAGCAAGGAGTGGTGGGTATGCTTAACTCTCCTTGGCCCATTCGCTCCCCACTCACTCCTTGCTCGGACAGGATGGGTGACATACATGGTCACCCAGACCGAATTACAATTATGGAATGGATAGTAAAAAAGCAAATAACCGCCAATCCCCTAATCAAATGCACGACACTTTTAGTGTCGCACATCCGATTGACATTGTTGTTGTCTTATTTTTCTAGATGCACGGAGGTTCATTCCCAATTTCCCGCAGGAAAGAGAGAATGTTCCTCCTAAACAGAAATGGTGTAAAACCGTTTCCCAAATTCAAACAAAGAAAGAGAGATACCTTTCCAAAGGTCCCCACACTCCAGCAGAAAGACTTGGTTTGAAGTCCACACCAAACGTCAGGCTCTGCTGTCTGCAAGTCCTTTTATCCAAGCATCAGTCAAATCACTGGTATTTGTTGATGAGGCTGTGCGTCAAAACTTCTCAATCAACGAACGTGAGCAAATGCGGTGGGAAGGTCTGGTCTTCTCGCTTGGGATGGTCACCCAAATTAAAGTGGGAGAGGGGTTCCCTGCACCTATGGGAGAGGGGTTCCCTGCACCTATGGGAGAGGGGTTCCCTACACCTATGGGAGAGGGGTTCCCTGCACCTATGGGAGAGGGGTTCCCTGCACCTATGGGAGAGGGGTTCCCTGCACCTATGGGAGAGGTTCCCACCACATCTTCAGGAAATGAGGCATCTTGCCTGTTCCTGCTCGGAAGAGGCATTGACCTGATTGTTCAAAAGGCTCCTACGGATGATCTCCTTTTCCACTGACTGAAGGAAAGGCTCATTTTGAAATTGAACCTGACCATCGGTGAAGGAGTGAAACTGCTCAACGTAAATGCCAATGAGGTCGACAACTGTCTCCTCTTGGAGACGGGTCAGTGCCTTCGAAGCGGAGGTCAACTTGATGATGTGGGGAAAGAGTATCTCAATAAGCTTCGGAAGACGCTGCTCCGTAGTTCCGTTGCGTTTGGAGTAGCTCATGATCTGTTTGATGTCGCTCAAGTCGGACTCTGAAATCTGTCTCAGTCCCGACTCTATGACGTTGACACCTTGGGTTCTCAGCATCTTGATGTCGTCAATGGAACGCTTGAAGGAGGAGATGAAATTGTCAAAGTCTTGACCCAACTCCATCTGCGGAACCTCGGTCTTGATGATTCCCTTGGTGGCACGGTTCTTCAAGTGGGGGACTGCCTCTTCCCTCTTTAGGAAACGGTTGATGACCCCACCCTGCAACCTGAAGAGAAGTGTAATCGTCTGGTTCTCCTTCATGTGGTTCTCACGGAAGCTCAGGTTCTCTAGCAAGGCGTTGCCCACCCCATCCACAAAGCGTAGCCAAGAAGGGTTGTATCCCCACTTCGCAGAGACATAATGGCGTAGCACCCGCAATTTCCACGTTGGCTTGACATACACAGTCATTATCTCACCGTGAGGGATGAAGCCCTTCTGGATTAAGACCTTGATGTGCGCCTTGGAGTTGAAGCAAGACGGATTATCATCAGGTTCACTATCACCAGGTTCATCCTCACCAGGTTCATCATTGTCGTCTGACCCATCAGAACCATCTCCTCCACTTTGGTGGCCTTCGTCTTCTGCTGAGCCACCGCCACCACCAGAAGGTTGGTCTGAGCTGGTTGATACCAAAGTGTGAGAGTTCTTGAACTCAGCAAACTCTTTGATTAAGTGGCGTCGGGAAATGAAAGCCTCAAAGACCAAGGCATCATCCTTAAGCGTGGAGAGTTCTCGCTTCACCCTCTGCGTCCAGTGCTCCTTCTTGGTGCTGGTCTTGGACGACATTAGTGAATGCTAGAAGACTGAGTGCTAACAGTTCGAACCGAAGCCTTCCTCTCAGGTTACACACTCTACTTTCAATTAGGCAGTCAAGCAATGTTCAACATCAATGAGACGGTCAATCAATGTTCAACAACAAACAGCAACACATCAAGTCTTCCCAAGAGCTCATTCCAGTGTTTCAAGGGAGACGCTCACTGAAGTCGGTATGATGCTCAGTGGCATCGTGCCAAAAGTGGCTCACATCTTAGCACACGGAACAGCCAAACAACTGTGCGAATGGCTTCATCGTGGCTATGGGGATTGATGCAATCACGGCTCAACCTCGTCATCGTCCGAGTCCTCTTCCTCGCTTTCCTCTTCCTCGTTCTGGTTATGCATGAACGTGATGCCCTGCAACATCTCATCGGGCAAGGAAGCGTCCACCACGTTGCCGAAGTCAACCCCCGAGTTCTTCAACTCAACACGGTTCCTCTGGTGAAAGTCCACCTTGTCCCCGCAGGAGAGCGACAGCTTCAGGCATGCATCCTTGCGAAACTTCTTGGAGCCCATAGCGATGAAGCGATTGACCTGTTGCATGATGGCTCGGCGGAGTTGACCAACAGGCTCACCAGCAGCAATCTCAACCATGAAGGTCAAATTGCGGAACCTCACCCGAATGGTCAGCATCTGACCACGTGCGGCAGCGTCAGTAGCAGACTTCAAAGCCCGACGCTCACGTGTACGACGCTTGGTCTCTTCCTTCTTGGTGATGGTCTTCCTATCCGAGAGAACCTGCTTCACCATCTTCGATTTCTCAGCAAACTCAAGGTGCATCTGATGGAAACGCTCGGTCAACGCCTCCAAGGTGTCATCCGAGGAAGCCGAGATGTCCTGAAGCAACTGCTCTGACAAGACCAGTTGGTTGATGATGTCCTGATCATCAGTCTGCTGTGGTTGCTCGGTTTCAACTCGATGGGTTGGCGACTGCTCATCCGAAGGAGCATAGTCGGGGCTCTGCTTAGGCGCCATTGCAAGGACGGTTAGTTGAACACTACAAACTTGAATGATGAGAGGCTGTCCGTTCGTAAGCATCGGTCAACCCTCTCTCAATTACAACCTGCTTTCCTGATACAATGAAAAGCCACCAATTTTGACTAAAACGATGACAAAACAAATGAACCACCAACACCCCAGAACTTGATAACTACTAAAAGGGTTAACTCTTTCAAATGAAAAAAATGTTTGCCCCCAGCCCAACAATGAACAAGGGGGGCAATTACCAAAATGATTACCTTAACGAAAACGATAAATAAGCTCCCTAAAAACCCTCTTTTAAAAACGAATAAGGGGGAACACAGATTTGAGATGAACATAAAAACCATAACAGGGGACCATCAACAGACCACCCCCCAGGCCCCCTACTTTTACCATTTTTTCCCCCCCCTCCCCCAAAAAATGGAGAAAGTAGGGGGCCTGGGGGGTGGTCTGTTGATGGTTGCCTGTTATGGTTTTTATATTCATCTCAAACCTATTAACCACCTTATCCGTTTTTAAAAGAGGGTTTTTAGGGAGCTTATTTATCGTTTTCGTTAAGGTAATCATTTGGGTAATTGCCCCCCTTGTTCATTGTTGGGCTGGGGGCCGACATTTTTTTCATTTGCAAGAGTTGGCCCTTTTAGTAGTTATCAAGTTCTGGGGTGTTGGTGGGTCGTTTGTTTCTTTGACGTTTATCTCTACAATTATTTATTTTTGTTCTACACTCTTGACAATATTTATATCTTCTTCCACTTTTTACATTTCCAAATTCATCAATTGTTTTATCATAAAGGCATCTGTTACATTTGAAGAATTCACCAAAGTCTTCTTTTGCTTTTTCTTCTGTCATTCCATAATTATTCATTATAGTTTGCTTCACAACCATTCTTAATATATCTTAACAACTTCTTTTTATGTGATTTTTATGTGATTGTCTAGCTATGTTTTATAGGTTAAAAGTTCAGTATAATTATAACATATAAGATTTTACATGTTATTATTATACTATGATTATAATTTCAGTTCAGGATAATAATTTAATTGATTTGTCTTATTTCTTTCATACATCATTTTAAAAATAATATTAATATCTCTCAATGTATTTTGAACATTAAACTTTTTACTTTCAATAAATAATTTGATATTTTGTTTAACATCTTCTCCTTTCTCTTGACTATAACCCAACATCCATAATATATCATAAATCATGTCATATTTTTCTTACTGATTTTAAGAAACTGTTTAACATAATCATAAGGTGGTATTTTATTTACAGTTAGAAATATTAAAATCTCATCTTCTACATTTCTATTATGTCTCCCTTTTATTCTCAACAGACATTTGATTAAAAATTGATTATCTCTCCATTCCTGACAAATTTTACATTCGTCTTCTTCACCCATTGAATAATTAATAATATTATTCACTATTTCATTAGGTAAATTCAATTTATACAATTCCATATTTTCTTTTTTGAAGTGACAACAATCATAGCATTTTTTATTGATATAATTATTGATTCCATCACCGTTCATTTTCCTTTTAATATATAAGGTAATATTTCTTTAAGTAGTTTTGGCTAGGGGTTATGGTTTAGTTATGAATTACACAGGTTCATCAACCATTAGTTTAAACCTTATGTTTTGTACTCCTTCAAAATTCATTCTACTTCTTGCATCTTCCATACGACTGTCTATTGTTTGATGCGCCACTCTCATTACATCAGCTATATTATCTATGGTTATATTATCTACAACATCATCACTACGAAAATAAAAACTAAAAGTGTAAAATTGTCTTCATAATAATTGAAATGATGAAACCTTACAAACATATTTACCTCAACTATTATAACTTCTCCATAACTGTTATCGGTTTCAATGCCATCTAACAAACAACCTAAGTTTTCATTTTCATTAAAAACTATATCTTCAATGCTTTTAATGCTTAAAGGTTTATTTCTTGAAATGTAATACTCAATTACGTGTCTCTTTATATCATCACCACCTACAGCAGTTCGACGCTTTGTCTTTCTTTTTGTTTCTGTTCTGTTTATTTTATATTGTTGTTGTATTCTCTTTAATGTCTTAATATGATTATGTTTTATTTTCAAATACTCAGGTTCCCCTAATTTATATGAAATGATACCTTTTAATACATCAACAGGTAAGCTAGCACAATTCTCTACCATAAAATTATTATCTGACATTTTACCCCCACTCATTTTTCTCTTAATATATAAGGTTTTTTCTCTTTAAGTAGTTTTGGCTAGGGGTTGCTGGTCGGCTGGTCTGGGTTTCAGGTTTAATTTAAATGTCTTAACCTTCTTGATAGATTATAAAACAATGTTTAATCATATTATAATTAAATATTATGATTAAACCATGAAATCATTGTTTCTGTTTTCTATAAATTTCAATTATAACATGTTCGATAGTAATGATTTCGTGTCGTTTCATAGTCTGTTTGGTTTCTTCAACTGCTTGTTCAATATGGTATTGTAATGACGCTCTACTTGAAATCTTATTCTGTTTAGATGCTGAATAAGAACGACATCTGCAAATATTATTATGATACATAATTTTCGAACTAACTTCTATTCCAACCTGTATTTCTTCATCATACTTCATCATTCTTAATAATTCTTTTGGTGGTTTCAACGCATATGAAAGTGCTTTATCACCTTTCAAACATTTATTGCTAATCAACGCATAATGTCTACTTTCTCCTACTCGTTCAGTGTAAATAGACGGTTTCCATTTCCTTTGTAAGACCCTTAATGCTTTACACTGTTTTAGTCTTCGCCACCCTTCACAACCATTAATGTAAGTAGTGATGATTGAAACTAAGCCCTCAGGTAAGCTAGTCCAATTCTCAACTATAAAATTATTCTCTGACATTTTACCCTCACTCATTTTCTCTTAATATATAAGGTTTTTTTCTCTTTAAGTAGTTTTTTATTTTATGTTAAGGGGTGGGGCTTTATATTGAAAAAATATTTTCTAACAATTTAATATAATGGCGAGATTAACAAAAGACCAAATAATCAGCAACATCTATTACGACTTAGACGAGGGTTTCGGAAGCACACAAGCGACACACAAGAAGGCAAAGGAAGAAGACCCAACAATAACATTAGACGATGTAAAGTCTTTCTTAAAGAAACAACCAAATAAACAAATCAAAAATTATAGAGGTACTAATTCCTATACCGCTCCATTCGCACGATATGAATATCAAATAGACATAATGCATATGTCTCCTTTAGCAAAAGACAAGAACGTTCCACAGTATGCTTTAGTCGTGATTGACATCTTCAGTAAATTAGCAGATGTAATACCGATGGAGGAAAGAGACGGAGAGCACGTTTTGAAGGCGTTGAGAACAAGCTTTAAAAAGATGGGTTATCCGATGTCCGTGTATTCTGATGACGACGGAGCGTTTGCAACTAAAAATCAAGTTCAGGATTTCTTCAACAGTGAAGGAATAAACCACATCGTCACGAAGACCCACGCAAATGTGGCCGAGCGTTTTATTAGAACGATGAAAAACAAAATTCACGATAGAGTTAGGTTTAACAACATGAAATGGACCGACGCCCTAACGCCAGCATTGAAACAGTATAACAGCACATCACACTCATCAACAAGGATGACACCGAC